TTTTCTTTACTTTGAACCAAGTACCTTCTTGTGTGTGCAGCTAGCTGTTGTTATTCATGTGGGAACTGAAGGCTGAGATTGAAAAGGTCTGAAAAATGTGCATATTGTTTGTATCATCCATCATTACATTCTTCTGCAATTCATGGTGGGTGGTGTGGAGACCATGGGTGGGATGCCTCTAAGGCACCCCACAGGAAAAGAGGATAAAGCAGAGAGAGCCCTGCAAGGGTCTGGGACCTGGTAGATTGTGCATGGCTTAATCAGGGGCGGGCAATTATTTCAGGTGGAGGGCCGCTTACTGAACTTTGGCAAGCCATTGAGGGCTGCATGACAGGCAGCTAGGGGCAGATAAATACTAATTTTATAAATGTTTTAGAGGCCTCACAGGCTGGATAGAATGGCCAGGGGGTCAGCATCCAGCCTGTGGGCCACATTTTGCTCACCCCTGGGCTAAATCCAAGTGTTTTAGCAGAGGGATAGAGCAGCCCTGAAGAGTCAGGGACCCTGTTCTGTCCTAGGAGCCCAGTGTGAGAGAGATGGAGGGCTAGGAGCCCAATCCAACATAGAGAAGGAGTATTCCCACCTGGGTAAGGGACCTGTTGGGCCAGAGCATTGGAGGAGACGGTCCAGAGCACAAGAGGGAAGAGCCAGAGGGCCCAGTGCCCAAGAGTACAGGGTAATATCTGTAAGGAATGGGGGGTGGCACAAGGAATGGCTATGTGGGGTGGCTGGAGGCCATGATCATAGCCACTGAGGCAATTAATACCATAGAGTCATGACAGGGGCCATTCATGTAGCAGATGCTTGCAGACCAGAGGTGTCCATAGAGGTGACACCTTCACTTAGTCCTTGCTCTATGGGCATGTAGCTCCCTGACACCAAAGGCACATTGAATGGCTTGAGGAGCCCTCTCTCATATGCCTCCTGCTGCCAGGCCACAACACAACAACTCACAGACAGGCTGGAAGCAAAGCATGACCAGGTATGTCAAGATAGTCCAGTGTGAAGACAAGGTAAGAGCCAGTACCTCACAGCGCTGCTCTGTGAGCGCCTGGAGGCAAGGTGGGTAACATTGTGTAGGTCCCTTTTTTGCTTTCGTGATAAAGGCAAAGTATGAGACCAGCCCTTCTGTCATGAAAATGAGCAGTCACATGGTGGTAGGAAGCCCTGAGTAGAAAGCTCTGCTCTTGCCATTCATGCATCTTCAGAAGCCTTTAGGGGAGCATGTTGGGATTTCTGTTCACTAGCCACATAGTTGTGCAGCATTTCAGCAGCAGTAGCTGAAATCACCCATCTTCAGGCTTAGGGAGTCTCTGCTGTTTTGAGACTCCGAGGAATGAGAGAGAAGCTAAAAATGTGGCGGGATGTCAGTAAGAATGTAAATAGGTAGAAATTAGAAAGACAAAAGGTAAAGCAGGTAAGGGAGGGGGAAGAAAGCAAGGGCGGGGGAGGCCAAAGGGAGACATTATATAGTGCTAGAATACAAGGTAGAAAAGAGGTCTGTAAAAAAGGAAATAGTTGGAAATCAGGAAAACAGGAATGAGAGAAGCTAAAAGCGTAACAGGATGTCAGTGAAATTATAAATAGGTAGAAATTAGATGTCTCTCTTAGACATGAAACACAAGAATACATGCTACTCTTCACCCTGGAAAGAGCTCAAGGTGATGAAGTTTTATTTGTTTGTAGAGCCAGTATAAATATCTCCTTTTACTGCGCCTCCCCTCTAGGAAACAAAGACCAAATATTTTTCAGACTCTGGGACTAAACATTAATTTGGGAATCTAAATTTTCTGACTGCATCTTTCATGGTCTCTTAGCTTGGTATTTGAATATTGCTTGTCACATCCATGACTTCAGATTAATATCTAAAGTCTTACTTGTTATAGTATACAACTAAAAAAAAAGGGAAAAAAAAGTATAAAAAATTGCAAACCTTTCCAGGAAAAATAAATGGCTTTCTTTGACTAGCCCTGACTAGCAGTCGTTTTTTAGCCATACCTATTTGGCAAATATTTCAAATCCAAACTTTCAATATCCCTTATGACAGAGACTTTTTGGGAAAAAGGACTTCATCTTTTACGGTATTCAAGCCAAAAGCAGAATTCCCATCCCTTCTGCTGAGTCTGTGCCACGAAGGTGAACTCAAGGTGAAAAGGACCAGAGAGAGCAAACGGGAGAAGGCAAAAGGGAGTCTGACTCTATACAGGCATGATAAGGGGACTCACCTAGGAGGAAGAAATCTTTGTTTCTGGTACCTGCTCCAGGGAGTGCTTCTGTGTTTTCCAAGAAACAGTCATTGGGAAGAAAAAAAAGAAAGAGCTGTCCTGGCTGTTATCCAGAATTGAGGAGAGACCTACAACAACACTAAT